ACTGAATCTGAATTCAATCTGTGCACTTTGTATGCTTAAGGCATAAATCCCGCCTGTTAAAAATGCCAAACAAATGGGATAAACAACAAACTAAACAAAGAATACAAGCGCAAAGTACTTATATTTTGTTATATAATATTTTTGTTATACAACTTTACTAGTCCTCTATATTCATGTATGAAATAACCAGTAAGTCTTTTGTCCTACAGTAATCATTTTATGTAGATTATAATTTATGATGACGCTACTTAACGCAGTGACAAATCGATTCAATTCACAATCAAATTTCATTAATATTAACAGTAAGAAACTAAAATCATAATACAATACTAATACAACATAAACAGTTGCGCTATTGGATTGGATTGGAAGAAAATATTATATAAGCAAATTATTATCTAATATAAAGGTCAATGACCGAGCATAAAAGAAAACTTATAAATAATAAAATTTCTTTGTGAAGTAAAATTTTTTACAAAGAAATCTAATTAAATGCTTGATTATTGACCTTTATATTAAAATAATTTGTTTTGCGTAAAACGAGCGAATTATAATTTAAAATATTATAAATTTTTAAAATAACGCGAGTATGATTGTTGCTTGTAAAAATTATGAGCAACGACCGAAATAAATAAGTAAAAGTGGTCGATTTTTCAATATCAAAATAAAACGGATATCCGTGTCTATACTCTACGAATGTGAATTAAGTTCTTTCATAAATTCAATTCTTTTAGGAAAACGACAAAGAAACATACAAACAATATATGTACTTGGACTGATAAATTTTATTCAAACATAAGCCTTATATGAATATATCTTACTATAAATGAGAATCACAGGAAACGCGACTCTAATCTGCCGTTGATTTGCATACATTTCTAGAAATATTAACGTAATTAAGTAATATAATTAAAATATTTTTTAAGTGCTCTAATATGTAACTTTATAATTTTACACACACACACACACACACACACACACACAAAATACAAAAAATAGATGTGTATTTAAAGGTATCATGAGAAGTTATATGAAATTATATATATTTATTTAACGTAAAAAGAATTTTGGGAGGCAGATGTGAGCTCGATGGCTCTCGCATACGATCTAGACTTAATAAATATCTTAGTCAGTCACAGAGCAAAAAGTGAACTCGACCAGTTTCTGCCCGAGAACTACCGACGTATCGATGCAACGCGATATTTATGAATCGGCAGCTATTCATTTGGTCCGCGGAAAGGATTGACAAGTGAGTATTACGGATATTAGAAGAGAGGCGTGGACGGCAACGTCTATCGCAGGATACGTCGTTCGACGAAGGATAATACCAGCTCCCGAACTGAATCAGATGCGTGTAGCGATCGGGATGCATATGGAAGAAGCTAAAAACAAAAAACGTTTCTCGCTAGACCGAATATTTGTTCTTTCTTTTGCACGATCCAGAGACCTGTATCTCTTAACGGGCTCGGCAATCCCTAAGTAAATTAATGTCTTCGAAGCTCCCTTGAAGCTGTTAATAATAGCACCGCATCGAGAAAATTAAGCGGTTTATTTGAAATTAATTATGGCTTTTCAGACCAGCTTGTATCCGTTCTCTTCGTGTTGACAACCCTTCATTCATTTATATTCTTCTGAATGAAGTAGATCATACATTGTTTTTTGTAAGATTTTCAGAGCAAACTTTGTGTGTATAAAAACATATTTTATTATTTTTGTAGTGTAAGAAAATTGAAATTTGTTCAGTTAAAAATGTCATTTATGTGAAATGTTTCTTGAGACACAATGGCACATTAAATCGGCCTTGAAAAATGTTTCTATGGCGAGCTCTGCTGGAAATGTGTTTAATAATTCAAATATTCCTGCAGGCGTATTTGTATGTAAATTTAAAATAATACAAGAACAAGAGGCTCTATAGCGATCAAGCGAGCATATTTAAGATGGGCTGGTTTCTCAAATGACTTAATGTTGAATAATTAATAAAGAGGAATGATATCGTTGAAAATCGAGTTTTCTGATATCGGAAAATTTGAATTTTCCGATTTCCCTAATATGAATACGATGAATAAATTGGTAAAGAATAGAATCTTTTTGAAAAAATAATCTTATTTTCAAATTAACTGAAAACTAGGTAATAGATAAAAAGGTCCATCAGTTTCTGAAGTTCGCAATCTACATATCAGCTTGCTTAGATAGAAGTTATTTACGGAATTTGTGTATAATGAAACAATTTTGCACTCGTAAAATTTATCAATGACTTGTGAAATTTGCGATAACATTCAAGCGATAATACATAGCCACACGTAATGCGTGATTCATATGGTCGGATGGGGACTTTAAGATTCGAAAGGAAGCCACAGGGATCCACCACTTCTCGTACGTGCATTCACAAGTAAATTAGCTGCATCATTGTCTGCGCGAATGGACGAAAGCAAAAGAGAAAAAAATATCGACTGAATGTAAATATGATAAAAAATCCACGCGTCATCCGGTTGACGAGAATCAGAGAATGCTCTTCGAGGCGTCGCGATGCATCGACGTGACGACGGGATTTCTTATACGTCGCTTTGCAAAATCATCCTTCGATATCGAACGCATAAGCGGCTTATCGATCGATTCATTCGATGTTAAAAAACCATCACTTCTTTTGGTTACTTTCGATCGATACTTTCTCAAAATTGAAAACTTATATATAACATAAATAATTAATACTTTGATTTTATATTTGTTATTTTTCTAAATTTTTCAATTTCTTTCTTGTTTAAAATATTTTCTTTGATGAAAATTTTATTATTTTTCTTCCTATGATAAGATCTATGTATATTTGTTAAAATTTTTGACATTCGATACTCTGTGTTATCGATGTATGATTTTGCAAACATCAAGATACACAATATACTACAAATATTATAAAGCTGTCTTATGTAAATTATTATTTTTTAACTCTAAAAAGGAAACACAATTGCATGATGCATCTTCGTTATATTGATCAGCAAATTTCTAGCTCATTACTAAGGTTTCAGAAATGTAACTAAGATCTTAGTACGTATATAGTGAAAATAATTCTCGTATGTATCAGCTGCCTTGCTTCAGGATTATTCTTCAGTATAACATAATTAGACTACCTGCGGCAAAAATGTGTCGCGTGCGTGCCCCATTCTATTCTTTCTTCTTCGTTTCCTCACTTCTTTATTTCTTCTTTTGCATCTCACGATGCAATAGAGATTCACCCGACTCAATTTGTATATGAATGAACACGCATTAGCTTCACAATGTTGACAAAAGCAAAGAAACTTGACATTAAGACTACCTGGTGCGAGGATCGTCAGGAATATTATGCGGAAGTGCGGTAAAACACTGGTAGATTTGCAATTTTCACGGTAAAGAAGTAAATATATAGTTTTGTCGCGGTAAATTTGATAGATCTAAATGTCATGAACTGAAATTGATGATGAATTGAACCTTCCGTCAGCAATGTGAAATTTTCATTCTTTGTCTGCAACCTAGCTCTTTGAATTTCAATGCAGATTTTTATATTGTTCCAGACAAAAATCTGAAAAAATTGTTATATACTTGTAAAAAACTTAGCAAACACTAACATGTTTTTACTGTTATATCGTATAAATTGGATTGGATCTTATTTATTGTTTACAGATTTAAATTTATCTATCGGAATTTACAATCAAAAAATCGATTGTGAAATCCAATTATATTGGAGGATTAATAATAAAGAGTCACTAAAAGTAACTATTGATTTAATTATTTGATTTTTATGATTACTTTAGTTATATTATTAGTTATACCAATATTAATAATGTCAGTTTTGATCATTTTAAATTTTCATCAGTTATTTGAAACATGCTTTTTAAAATTCCTCATAATTAACGCATATCATAAACGACATTTATCTAATGGCGATGATCATGCACTGACAGCCGATCCGCAATCTTCTTCATAGAAGGTGCTTCATAGAAGATCCATGCATGAGAGCTGCTGAATTGATTTTATTCTTCAGCATTATTGCCAACTGCTATCCTCTAATTATTCCTGATAATTGATGCGATTATTACCCGTCAAGTCACTCCTAACTTCGCATAGCAAGAAAACTACTGAAAAAAGATATCCGGTCGATTGATCGAGTGTGCAATTATTCCTCCGATCTATGTCTATCCCTGTCTATCGATATAGCTGATTAATTTAACGTTAATTGCACCAGTTATGACGATGGCTTCATCCTGATCACTTATCCGAACATGTCACTTATAAAGACTATCTATCAATATATTTGCCTGATTATCTGATCTTGGCAGAATAAATTTTTATTTTTGAGATGTATCTACATGCAGAGAAAAGATTAGCCAATGTAGCTAAAATGTAGCTGTGATAGCTAAAGTGTCCTTATAACAAGGACAGCTAATGTCGTTACTGCCAAAGCTCAATTTATTAGCTACTAAAATTTAGGTGCAACGAAAGATATTCTTTGCTAGAATAAAATAGCAACTGACAACGTCTCGGAAACAATTGCGAATAGAATACTCGGTTACGCAGCTAAGATAATGAGGAATAGCTGCCACTTACCTAGCTACTTGTATTAAGTACGCTTTTGATTTTTAACTGATAAAATTGACATGGGCAGCAAACGTATTTTATCTTCAATAGCCAACTTTTAACAATTACAGCAAAGTTTGAACCAGCAACTGATACTTAGCTAATATTACCAAATTCTTTTTTGCATGTATGTCGTTAAATTGTATATTATTTATATATTATCATATATTTACGCACTTTATCAAAATTTAATCTTTATACAATGGACGCGCTGTATTAATATTGAAATGCTAATATTTTTTTCATGTACTTGTTTATATACATATATATATA